TCAAACCGGCGCAGATATTAATACTGTATATAATTGTACATAGCATGACAGACATCATGTTCACTAATTCTTGAATGATAATGTACCTGTTTTCAATTAAATATTTATCTCTCTAGATTTACTGCCTCTGTTAAATAATATTAAGAGCAATTTTCTATATTTTCATTCACTATATTTTTAAGAACAACAGAATCAGTTATATTGTAACAAATATAATTTGCATTTACTAATTTCTTTGATTATCAATATAATTTACTAGCAATTTTTCGAAATGGATTATTTTCAAACGGGTAAGTTAGATCTAATAATAATTATTATTAAAACGTGAGGAAATAAAGAAGATATTTATGTATAAGAATCATAATGAACATTTTATTTTACAAACTAGGACACGTTGCTCGGAGGTTTGGTCTCAAGCTTGTGCAGTTCGCTGCTGGAACTATCGATTAATCAGAATCAAATACGTAGAAATTATCACCACATTGAAAACAAATAAAAAGGCCTGTTCGAGCTGCAAATCTGTAGTCGCTTCTACAATCTCTTGAGGTGTCGTATAATCTTCTGATCTCGATATTTAATCGCTTAGGAAAAAAGAATCCAACTTCTTCTCGATCCACTTCGATCGAATAGTGTCACTGTCGAGAGCATAGTGTCGTGTAATGTACAGTTTCTATGACAATACGTAAATGGTAGAGATCTCGAAGAATCCAATTTCGTCGTGGTCGTAGAACGCGACGCACGGTTATGGACGTATTTACATATTGACGCGCTTATATTTTTATATATGTATAGTACGAGAATAAAATTGTAAAATAGTATCGATATAAAGAGACGTTGTACATAAGGGACAGTATTACGTATAACTATCGCTGTGTGGTGCATAATCGTGTATCTAGCGTTTCGGAATTTTCAACGCACGTAGATCACCACTGCATTTTATCGTTATCTTTATTTCTTCAATCGCACGGTTCTAATTACTTTGCTGACAAATCACTTCAATTCCTCGACTGGCTTTTTTTTTATAATTATTTCAACGAATTTCTTAGAATAAAGTAGAGAGACAGTAATTTTTTATTTCCTTGAATATATTGAGTACAATTGATGAAGTACGTTTTCTTGAATGGCGAAATCAATAACCATAGTACTACTGCCGTTGAATGAGTTGGTGACTGTTTCGTCTAAATTTCCATAGGCTTGTCATTGGCTCTCAGATAAAGTATCAGACGATTTATTCAACAGATATCGCCAGTCAAAGAGTTAATATTGACCGCAGTTACCGAGACGGTCGATCTTGATAGTATCAGTAGTAGCGGACTGTACTAGTCAGACGGACATCGCTCCGAGTCGGCGTGTGCTTCCACTATAATTCTACTATTCAACGGTGTTAATTTGCGTCATATTTTCATATAAATGGGAATGAGAATAATTCGGAGAAAGAAATACAATTTGTAACACTTTACATTATTTGATATCAATATTACTTACTGTATTATATAATATAAATTACTTTCCGATGTAAAAGTCATTAGATTTTTCTATGTTTTGTCCAAATCGAGTGAGTATTATATTAATAAAAAACGTGTACACTAGATCATTAGAATTAAGTTTCTAATTTCAGATTTCATTGTCTTTCCTTTGTATACGAAATAAGGGGATAAATAATTACACTGTTTTAAAATTCTATACACGATTATCATTTCATGAATGCTGCACGAGAGTCTATGTTCGAATGACGTCAAACGAAATTGATGTTCCATTTATCACGATAACATCTAATATCCCATTCCTCTTAATACCGATGGTACATTCATTTCAGGGAACACTTTATTCACTGTTTACACGTTTTCTTTCAGTAGAACTCTCAGAGGAGAATACACGTTCCAGCAGTACGCGATATCCATCATCTCTTTCATATACGTATATTAATTATATTCGCTGTTCTGCTCTATATTCTCTCGCGGCCGATTCGCATTCAGTGGAACCGCGTAAAGAAAAGCGAAGATTAATTATCGTACGAGTTGAAACGATCTTCGACGAAACTTCATTGTTACTTTGTAGCTATATTCTCTTTCAATTATCACGCGCGTGCTCTCTACTCGCTCGCTTCCAAAAGAGACACTTTGATCTTTCACCGTGAAAATAATAATCGCCCAGTACGACACTTTCGGGAGAGACAATGTCAGGTATTTGGATATTCTGGAATTATGACGTCGCGTAATGAGGGATCGTCAGAGCGCGGCGGGATACGCGTTTCACGTGTCCTGGTTCCACGGATCTCGTCGATATTGGCATGAAACCAGCTGAGCGGCGAACGTCTGGCTTGATTTTAGACCGAGTTATTTACATACGAATGAAGACCCGAACCGAACGTATTTGCCAAACAGTTTTTTTTTTTTTTCTCTCTCTCTCGTTTTGTTCCTGTACGTACGCTCGATATTTTCGACGTCTGCAAACCGATTGCACAGTATGTCGCGCATAATGCGAATCGGAACAGTCGGCTAGCTAATTCATGGCACGCGTGTCGAACCGTTAATTGTTTCACCGATAATACCTGCTTCCGCGCAATACGTTTTGAATGTAATTAACGCTCGGAACCGATCTCGGTTTTTCCCCCCAGCCGAGTGATTAGAGAATCGGTGAAACGAGCCGCGCAAAGCGTTTGAAACTGTCGAATTATACGTTTCGTAGTTCAGTTCAGCTTGTCGTGATTTTTGCTTCACTATAATTGAACCGTAGCAATTCTTGAAATAATATAAACAGTTCTTTGTACATTCACTTTGTGTGAAAATACAAAGTCGAAGTTTCAGTTGATCGAACGCTTTGGTGGTTGGGAGGAGGGTGGAATCATAGTCTGCTTTCACGTGACAAAGTGATTTTACAGAGGCAAGATAGAAGCAGCCGCAACTATTCGCGGCGAGAACAGTTGTTTTAATCTCAGTCGGGGGCAACAAGAAGGCATCGATAATGCGTATCAAGTGTCAGGTCTTAGTTCATCCTTTGTGTGCTTTGTTCACCGACGTCGACGTCCCTGATCGATTTTCGATTATCACCGTTTCCGCGATGAATATTCCTAAAGAGATTGGCGTGAATCGATGAGAATGATTACAGAACGCGATGAAAAGGGTTTACGCGAGAACGAGCCGAACCCAGAACGTTTCTTGAGTCAATGTTTTGTTAAAATTACCCTTATTATTCAATGTGAAATCTCTATTCTTAAACAATTTCATTCGTTCTTAATTCGTGATGAAATACTAATCAACTTTCATTTCTATAAATTATCTAATTTATGCAATTTGTTAATCATATCATCGTTACGACAGCTTCGCAATCGTGTTAAAATTTCGCTTTCAATTATCCACACGAAACAAGGAAATTTTATTAACAACGTCGGACTGGACCCTTTGAATTATAAAATTCATTTCGCTTCGGTGCAATCAGCTCGATTTTAATTGTTTATTATCAGTATTAACAACAAGCAGACGCATTGACCGTACTGTGTCGATCACAATAAAAGAGAAGCTTGTCATTACAATTATAACACGTCTCGTCTTTGATAAAAATAATTACATATTATTTTACGATTTTACAACAAAAGAAATCATTTTATTTTCGTGTGTACTTTTTAAAAGAAGGAACAAACTCCGATCTATACGATCATTAGTTTACTCTTTGCTTCAATTTCTAGTCAGATCCGTTTCTAACAAGATTTGTCCCTTCTTTACGTCAGAATTCCATGTCGTAAAGGGATCTTCTGAAAAGTACTTCCTCCGCAACAAAATCTTATTTTCCGACGAAACGTAGCGGTCCTGTAACGTAGAGAGCGTCTTCGTCGGCGTTGTGTTCAGCGCTGTCGGTGGAACGGCGAGCGCGCAGTATGCTAAGTTAATGGGAACACAAACGAAAAAGGTCGAGTTAGAACAGACGGGGAGTTCTCGCACGAGAGAATGCACGAGAACAAGGATATAAAACGAAGGGAAAAAAGGAAACTAAACAATGGCGAATGACAAAAATAGCACTGTATATTATTACAATTATTTATTATTGCGACATGTTCGTTGACTGTTATGTTAGAAATAAAAAGTACATTTAGATACTGGCTGGAAATGTCTTCGCAACGATCCCTAAAAATCTGTCACTTCTCTCTATTGTGTTTCCCGCCACTCCGTCGTTGCTTTTGCTACCCCTATCGTTTCATCTCGCAGCCCTTTTCGTTCCTTGTAGCCGGCGGTACAACGAAGTGGATGAGCGAGGACACTCGAGCCGGAAGGAAAGCGGAACGAGAGACGAGGGATGCGACGTGACTCGTGGCCCGCCTGGTACGAAACAATATTTGCTGTTTCTTCATCGTCCGGGCCACTCGAGAACGATTTCTCGAGACTCGAGTGCCCGATCGTTGGTATTAGATTCAGTTGCGAGAACGACTGGCGCATCTATTTCGACGAATAAGAGCGAGGAAGAATAGGAATGGGAAAGTAGGAGAGATCAGCCGTTAATGTTGTGACGTGTATACCTTCAACCAATTTGTTTTCCTTGGTCTCATTGTTAGAAACAGATTCATTTTAAATAATTATTTTTGTAATACATTGATTAATGAATTTCGTTTATCAAATATATAAGGAAAATTAACAGATTCAAAATAAATATTTCTCTTGCTCTTTGTACATTCAAACCTGTTCCTGTTCATTCCAGGCATTCTGTGAAATGGGAAAATTAAAGAGCTTTGTCTTCTATACAAGTCAATATTGCAATGAAAAGTCTTTTCTACTAGACGTACGAATTAAAAAAAAAAAAGGAACAGAAAGGAACTTTTTTATTGAACACACCACTACGGTGTTGCTTTTTACTAGCAGATGAGAATGTACAGTAAAAATTTAAGAAGTATAATTTTAGTGAAGCTACGATGGTAAAATGTAATGTATATTGTTTAAAAATAAAACTACTGAAAACGATTTATTAATTTAAAAAAATAGAAATTATTAATAACATGTTAGTATAAAACTTTTGATAAAGTATCTTATAATACATTTCAATTAAATGTGTTCATTGCGTTTTGTGGTCGTTTGCCATAGCACTGTGCTATTTCTATTTTTCCCTCGTTCATTGTCAAAGCCTTTTTTTTCTGATGCAAGACAAAGCAGCGTTTAATCAAACAAGGATCGCGTTTTTGTTCCCCTTTTTTTAAAACAATGCTCAATGGAAAAAGCAGTATGACGAAAGAATCGATAGTACTGTTTAATCAAACCCGTTCTACTCTTTATATGTATTATTCATTTGGTAGCTATTAACTGATGAACAATCGAAGATAAGAGCTGAACTCAAAACAAATTTCGTTCGTTGTTTTTCGCAACCCAGATAATTTTATTGTCAGCTGAAACAATAACAGAATACACAATGCAGTAAAATAAGTTGAATCCTTTCAATATGTTTCGTTGACAAAAATCAATGGACGAGTGGTGCATAAATACATATCTACTAGAAGATATAAAGCACATGGTACCAAATGTTACCTTCAGATCTCAAAGGAAATAAATAAAGTTCATTGTAAATAAATGTAAAAGACAATCTTTAGAAAACACAATTTTATTTTAATAACTCTTTACAAAAACGATTTAAATATTATTTTAGTATTCATTAGATACTGCTTCTAGAAGTCTAAAATGGTTGATATTGATTCTGGAAATTATTCTTAAATCTTGCAGAAGTCCAGTTTTGGATTGTCGGTTGGTGCATTCTTGAATTCTCATTATACATTTCTGGCAGTGCGCTAGTATTCGATATATCCATAATTCGTATGCTTTTGTCGCTGTCCGATCTCGATATTTGAATGTGCAATTTTGGACTTTCTCCCTTGCTCATCTACAACGTTAAAAACACTAACAAAATATACAAGGTTATAAATATAAAATAGGTTCACATTATAATTGCTAATGTTACAATGACAAAATGTAAACGGGACGAAATTATTCATTGAATAAATTATCACTTAATCGAATTATTCGTGTTATGCCCTACAATCCAATGAACGCATAATTATTATCAACTATTGGTAGCTGCATTGCGTTCGCTGTAGATCCTTTCATCATGTTAATACATCTACACGAAATTGCATAATTGCAATTCGGCAGTGGAATTTCGGATTACGTTGCGGTATGTCTGTTCCGTTAGCTGAGAATGCATTACAATTTAATTTAAATTCAGTTCATCATGCGCGTTATTGTGTCACGTATACGTGAAAGGAATTTCTTGAATAAATGAAATTTCGAAGCACGTTGTTACCAAACATTGTTTAATAGGACATTGCATATGCCTACGATTCCAAGCATGATATAACCATAACTAAATAGTATACAAATTTCAATTCTTTAAAAAGGGAACTTTCTCGCTTCATTTCATATCTTTCGATCAAACATAATGTCACTTACCTTTATCTGCACTTTTTTATTATTAACGTTAACCGTCCTTGATTCAAAATCATCCTCGTCATCAATATAATCTTCACTGTTGTACGTAGGCATGGATATACTTCCGTACTTTCTCTTTCTTTTCATATAATTATGCTCGTATTTCTTTTCAGCTTTCGGTAATTGTATGACTATAGTATATGGATTACTTTCAACGCGATCATCAGAATCGTCTCTCGTCGCCCCTGGACCATATCTGTAATTTCAATTTTCTGCATCGCTTAATTTTCGTAACGATTTTACTTGTTAACTGCGAGTTATAATATAAATCCTGTTGGTATACATTGTACTAAACGTGGTCCGGTTTTCGATCCAATTACCAAAAACGAGCTGTTCCGAGTCGAGTTGAATTTAAATCAATTTGAAAGCCACTAGCGCGATCTTGTAATTAAATTTAACGCTAAAATCAAAATTTCTACTCTCCTGTCTCCGTTCCCCTTTCTCTCTCCCCTTGTTTTGCATAACATTTAGTCTATAACGTTATACTGCCAAAGAGGTTTACTCTTTTGAAAAATATGACTCATGGTTCAAAGACTGATTAATAACAAAAATTATTACGATCATTAATTGTATAATTTTTATAGTTAAAAGTAACGAATATGAATGATTCGTAGTATAAATTTAAAAAAATTATGTTAACATTGAAAGGGAAACGAAATTGCATGGTATGTGATAACACGAGAACAGGAAGTATCATCTGAAGTATATGCGATTGTGTATAGAAGTTAATGTTAATGTATTTAAATTAGAGTAATTCTAACGGTGGTTTTCGGCTAAGTTTCATATCGCGGAATATAATAGTCTGCACCTGTAATAACTCGGTCTACCGGAATAATGGTCTCCCGGCGGTATCCTCTTAGAATGGTAGAACTTCGATGATTTGTGACCTGCGTACCACCGAGGTCGCCGCAATGGCCTGCGTTGATAGTACTTGTACGGCCTGATCGCTTTGTAAGCGTCACCGATTTCAACGATCTCCAGCAGCGACGCGATAAGTATAACTAGAAGACAGTGCTAGTGAAGAGGTAAATAAGATTAAAATTATTGAAAATGACTTGAGAAGATGATCGAACGAAAGGGTTGCATGCAAGTGCATGAATTTTAGTTTGAGAAAATAGTTAACAAGAATTTCTAGTATCCTGATGTTTAATTTATAATGCTATTATGCAAGCAATTCGTCACCTGATTTCTAATCGCAGTTCATTAGAAGTAAAAGTTACTATTTACGATAGGTTCATTACTTTTTATTACCTATAATTACATGAAAATTGTAGAATGATTTATTACTCTTTAAACATGCATCATTAGGTTTTGAAGACATTGCTTATCGTCTTTCGATAGACGATGGTTCTATCTCTTTAAAATGATGTGATATATCGAGTGTCGTAACTCTTCCGTTTCGCTATCAGAACGAAGCTTGCGAACAGTGACTTCAGGTGAAATATCGATAATCTTTGATGCGCGTATCTATTTCGAAATCAAACAGTGTCGTAACAATGTGGTATGATAAGCCGATGGTATCAGGTCCGAGAGGAATCGGTGCTTCGTGATATATACTCCGGAGACATGTGACATGATGAAAAGGACAGGGGATAGAGATACGCGTGTGGGTACGTGTACATAATTGGAAGATATTCTTCCCATGCTCTTCATTCCTTCCATTCGTTTTCTGAATGGTCTTTGTAAATCCCACAATGCCAGGAGTTCCATTTTGTTCTCCATTTTGAAATAGACACAATGAAAATTTTAGAAACAGTATAATCGAATCGAAATTGTAAATAATTGTTAGACTACTTTATTATGTGACATCAAATTACGTTGTAAAATGAAGGGATTTAAATAAAATGTTGAATAAAATTCTATATAATAAATTATAATACTCACACGTGCAAGTATATTCATGTCCCAAATCCTATAATTTCACACTTTATCCAATGACTTATTTTTTCATTGGCTCGTTTAAGATGCTCAGTAGCATAAGTCGATAGCACAATTACAGCACTTGATCACTTTCAAAATTCACATAATTCACAATATTCCAAATCGGAATTATAATCATGCACTTGTATGTTCAACTGTCGATGACAGTTGTCGATGATACCGTTAACGGTGCAATGTTCACACGACTTGAAAGTCCGTGTCTCTTAAACTCTCTTTTATATTTCGTCCCACTCTGACCGTGAGAGAAAATTTTACTAGGACACGACTATCTTCCGTCGCCGAGGAAGTCCCTTTTTTATCTGCACTAAATCTCTAGCGACACGGCCGAGAATTATAGCCTCCGTCTCCGTTAATGAAACGATACACGGAAAACTTTTTTTTCTGGTAGACCCAGTTATCTCGTCTAGTCTACCCAGTCAGGTGGAACTGAAAACTATTCTGTAATTTCTATTTTTTCCATTTCTCCTTTTTAAATTGATTGTTGCATTGGGAATCAGAAATTCTCAAGATGACTGTGAGATTCACACTAATAGGTTGAAACGAAAGTTGATGCGAAGAGTGTGAGATATGTGAAGAGATGAGAATCTGTAATTTCTTCGTGTTTGCATAACTGAATCGTTATGCAGAATCTTCCATTAAAGGTAGCTTTCCATTGTTCAATCCATCATTGCGAGTTGCCCATTCAACAGTTTATTGTCACCGAGGATCCCATTGTTAACAATTTTCTATTGTCTCGTTGGTAGAGTGTGAGGCAGAACGTTCGCAAATGAACTTCGGAATCCGTTAACTTAATAAGTACGTTTCAATTGACAATTCGAACTATTAAGCGAAATTATATTTTTCATCTTACATCCTGAAAGCCTGAATATCCGACAAGGATTTAAACGTTTCCTCGAGTGAAGTAGTTTTTCCTCCTTCAAAGCATCATTTCCTGCTCCTTCTAGTCGGCGATTGATTATTTAAGCTCGCCTCGCCAAATTATTATCCTGGTAAAAGCCCCGCTGCATGCTGCAGCGTCGTTCTAACGGATGAAACAGGATAAGCCTGAGTCGAAGAGAACCGTTTTCATTTCCGGTATCTGCTCCCGCCTTCGCGATTTTACGAAGACCGACTTTAATACCGAGAAACTGCACGCGGATAATAAAAGGATCAGCCGGAACTAGGACGACGCCGGTGCCAAAAAGTTTGATGGGCCCCGGAGAATTAAACATACCATATTCCCGTAGGGAAATCCAAAAAGCGTTATACTAATCTCTGTGCGTTACAGCAGTTTTTAATTACATACACATGTATATTAATAGCATTAAAGTATTATTATAATTGATAAG